GAAGGTGCTTTGGAGCCGACAAGACGAGTCGGAGGCGACTTGGGAAAATGAGGCAGAGCTTCGGAGGCGATATCCAAACTTTGAGTTTTGAGTCCCCTTTGCATTTTATTGCTTTCTAGTTTATTTTCGAATTCCGAGGACGGAATTCTTTGTAAGGTGGATAGACTGTAATACCCCGTTTCATTTTGGATTATTGGAGAATAATTATTAATTATTGCTATTATTAAATTGTCTTTATTATTATTATTATCATTATAATTATTATTATTATTATAATTTATATTAACTGTCAAATTTCTATTATTTATTGATTATTAGTAATATTGCTATTATTAATATTAATTGTCTTAAATATTATTAATTGTCAAATTGCAACTATTTTTCTAAATGCATAATTTTAGTATTAATATTATTATTTTAAAATATTGTGTGTATTATAAATATAGATACTCCGTATTAATTTATTACTCGTCGTCGATCAAATATCTCGAGAATTCTTGTATCACGTATATTTTATTTTGGCCCAAAGCGATTTAATTCATTGGCCTTTTGCCATTCTATATCCAGCCCAATGTAATTTATTTCTTGACCCAACTCTTTATTGGTTTTGGCCCAAGTTGAGATATTTATCTTTGGCCCATTTCTTGGCCCAATCCTCCTTTATTATGCGATCAAGTTTGAGCAGAAAAAGATATTTTCCTTCTCCTTCTTCGCATAGACCAAGTCGTCCGCTCAATTTAAGGTAGCGATTTTGTGGGAGATATTCTTGGCACGATCACGCGATGATCGTCTCCTCACCCTCCTTAATCTGACCGTTCTCACCTTATCCCTCTCTTCTACTTATACTGTGCGAACCTCGATCAGTACCCTAATCCCCAATTCTCCCGCAGTAAAAAATAATTGATTTTTGGTACCTGCTCCGCCAATAAGCCTCCTCGCCATTGTCGCCGGCGATTACCACCGTGCTCTGTTGTAGCACCTACTCCCGGCGTCCGTTCGTGAGCCACAGTCGCCGTCCCGTTGCGATCCACAGCCGTGCTCCTCCGTCCGTTGTTGCTCCTTCTCGAGAGCCCCGTTCGAGCACCGCGTCCTCCCCGTTCATCCGGACCTCCGGCAGTCGTTTCGCCGGTCGTTATTGACGTCAGCATCGTCTTCCACTCAAGAGCAGACACCCCGGGTCCTGTTCGTTGGAGTTACTGTCCGAGTCCCAAAAGCCGTTCGTCCGACCCGTTGTCGGGCCCGTTTCCCATTCAATCACTCGTACGTTCCCGAAGACGGGTAACTTATTCAAATCCTCTCCTTATTGCGATCGTTTTCATATATCGCATGTTATATATATATATATTGTGTTCGGTCTACCGAAAGTTGATTTGAATTCGGATTTCTTTTGGTTCGTTTAATTATTCGTATACTCGTGAATTTACGTGGATTATCGGAACTCTCGTTTATCGTATAAATCGAGTCTTATTTGCTGTAGCTAGTCTCGTCGCCACTGTGTGAAAGTTTTGAGTGATTCAGAGTCTCGATATTATTGTTTCGATTGTCGTTATGTCTTTCGTTAGTTTTTAAAACCGTGTATTGTTGTTTCATTTTTTCGAACCAATAAAACTTGTTGTTATAAGATTTCAAAATTCAGAAAATTTTGTTGCGTTGCTGTGACTATATCGTGTTATTTCGGAGTCCTGTTTTGTCGTTTCGGAGTCTCATTGTAATTTATTTCGGGGTTGTCTTGTTCGTTGTTTTCGAACCGTTAGGTGTCGATTCCTATTCCGAGCAAACCTCATTTTTGTAAAGTTTTCGAACTCTGGAAAAAAACTATTTTATTTTGAAAAATTTCTGTGAATTTAGCTGTTGAAACCTGTAGCTGAAATTCTGTCCAATCTGCTTAGTCGGCCTTGCATATTTCGCAGCTTTTGTTTCTGTTCAGTAGCAGGTTTTGTTCTAAACTTCAATTTATAAAGTTGCAATTTAGTCGCAAGCAGCTCGTGTAGCCCAGTCGTGTCTGCCTACTACTCCTTGCACGTGGTCGCGAGTTCGAAACTCCCTCCCTGCAACATTACATTTTTTTCGCCCATTTTAGCTGTAGTCTGGCGCGCGGGCCGCATGGCCCGAAGGCAGCCCGCGCGGCCCAGTTACCTCACATCTTCCAGCCCGATTGGCCCGCGTTTTATCCAGCCCTATAGCAGGCCCTAGCGGCCCAATTCTTGTCCAATTGCGGCCCAATTGCGTGTGTGAGGGCCATATGTGAAGCAGATTTTGGCCCAGCGATTGGCATCTCGGCCCAAGTGGCTTTCTCAACCTATTTTGTGTTCCGGAGCCCGTTTTAATACCGATTTAAATTTTAAAAATATTTTAAAAATGAGAAAAAAAAATTTTGGGAAAAATTATTTTAAGTTTCGAGACCCCAATTTACTTCTCCGAGTCTTATTTTTCAAAAATGAGAGTTCCAAGTCCACGAAAAATCCGATTAAAACCCGTAAATCTTAATATTTATTAAGTATGGGTTTTATGTCAAATTCGAGTAGTGAGATAAATTATTAATAAATTATCTCGCTTAATTGTAGGTGTTTGAGGAGTCGAGCCTCATCCTACGTACTTGCCTTTGTGTGATATTCTATCCTGATTCCAGGTGGGTTGTAATTGTAAAATTTACTATGCCTTAATTAATTATTTTTGTAGTTGTATGATCAAAGTATACATGTGAACCATGTAGCCTTCGATGTGAGCTATATTGGCCGTCGAACGGTTATCCCTGTAGCTATAGAACGTACCTTCGGGTAGTCTCCTTTATTATTGTTGGCAGTCAGGGCGTGAGTCTTGGCTGGTGATCCTCGTATGTAAGGCCAAGGCGTGAGTTTTGGCATTCGGGGTGGATTATTGCTCCTGCTGGCCGGGCACTCGTTGTAAGGCCTTCGAGGAAGGCGTTCGGTATATAGCTCGGCAGTAGTCTATTGTTATAGGTGTGCACATGAGACCATTATTGATTATTGATAGGAGATAGGACGGTTATTGATTCGTATACATGCTGCGATCATACTTTAATTGTTTACATTAATTATTGCATAGCGGTGAGCACCTCGACTTTCCTATTGTGCTCATCCCCACCTGCACTTCATGGATGCAGGTTAGTT